TAGACCTCTGAATACAGTGTGGGTTCATTGAATTATTGTAATGAGCATTTGATTAGCATACCTAAAAAAATAAAAGTTCCTTGCTCTAAGATAGATGGCTCCAAAGATGTCTACAACAATATCTTCTGTTCTAAATGCTCTTTCGTAAGGCGACCTTGCTGCACCAGCAAAATATAGAGTCTACTTACCTTCCCCTGTGAAACAAGGCTGGCCCTTTGGTCTGTTTTGACTTAAGAGGTTGGAATGGAAGTACTGTCAGAGAGCCTTTGATACTAGGTCTCACCAAATCTGCAGCTTCAGCCTTTCCTGCTGGGGATGCTCCTTCTAGGAACCCAGCCACCATGGAAGCTCAAGCAACCACACGGAGAGGCTGGGTAGAGGAAAATTGAGCCTCCTGCCAAAAGCGCTAGGTTAGTTCTCAGCCAGCAGCTAGCACCCACTGCACAACCAGGTGAGCTATTTTAGACCCTTCAGTCATGCCAGTGCCCAGATAACATCACAGAAAGCAGAACTGTCTGGTCAGCCCACAGAAAAATATTTTTTTAAAGTGTGGTTGCTTTAAACCACTACATTTTATCAAGGTCTGTTAGGAAGCAATTTCTCCCCATTAAACAAAAAGTTAAATGTGGAAGCAGAACTCCATGCCTAAAATGTATCAAGCTAGTCTTGTATCCAACCGTTTCTTCATTCATTCAAATGAACACGTCTTTATTGAACATATACTAAGCTAAATGCTGAGGATGCAAAGGAGACCAAATGCAGACATGTCCCTGCCCTGGTGGAACTCATTATCTGGATGGGGAGAAAGACATGAACAGAGAAATCTAATTACATGTTGAATAATAATAGTGGTAAGAAGTGGCATAATGTACTCTGGGATGAGGTGCATGGTTAAGGAACTGACCTCATCAAAGGGGTTAGAAAAAGAAGTGATGACTAAAGTTAGATCTCGAAGAAGATTAAAAATTAAGTAGGCAGCAGGGAGAGCAAGAGCATTCCATAGAGAGGGCTCTCCGCATGTGCAAAGGACCTGTGGCAGGAGAGAGGGTGATATGTTAAAGATCTGAGTTCAGCCGAAGCCGGTTTGGCTCAGTGGATAGAGCGTCGGCCTGCGGACTGGGGGGTCCCAGGTTCGATTCCGGTCAAGGGCATGTACCTGGGTTGCGGGCACATCCCCAGTGGGAGATGTGCAGGAGGTGGCTGATCGATGTTTCTCCCCATCGATGTTTCTAACTCTCTATCTCTCTCCTTTCCTCTCTGTGGAAAATCAATAAAATATATTTTAAAAAGAAAGAAAAAAAAAAGATCTGAATTCAGAACTAAGAGATGAGGACTCAAGATGAGGCTTGGGGGCCAGGCCTTCTAAGACTCTGCAATTCTCATAAGGGCAGATTTTACAAGGAGAGTTCAACCTACCAATCCCACCCTGGTCAGATTTTCTCCTCAAACCCCAATGGGGAGAAAGATGGGAGTAACCCAAGGGAGAGTAACCTGCACCATACTAACTGTATGTGCAGGGATACCCATGGGTATTTCAATGCTCAGCGCACATGGGCATTTTGCCCATGCTCTCATTCCTTGCTATATTGCTGCACACTACGCTCTACCTAAGTATTTCCTTTCTATACACCCATACTATGCTATACTACTACTATAAGTAGTCTCCATACTACTCTATAAGATCCTTTGGGTACGGGGGCTATGTCCCATTCATCTTTTTCATTCTTCTTTCACAGTATCTAGCAAACTGCTGAGCACATAGGAAATGTTTAATGAGTGTTTCCTAAAAATGTAAAACATGAATAAATAATCCATTCAGCCTGTCAGAAGTAATCTCCTGGGAGAAAATTCTACAGCCTCACTTGGAAAGCCATTCCAATGATAGCAATACTCTTAGGAAAGTTTTGCTGTAAAACCTCATTCCTTTCTTTTCTTTAAATCCCCACCTAAGGATATGCTTAGAAAGAGGAAGGGGGTGGGGAGAGAGAGAGAGAGAGAGAGAGAGAGAGAGAGAGAGAGAGAGAGAGAGAGAGAGAAACATTGACATGAGAAACATTGATCGGTTGCCTTCCATACACGCCCCAACAGGTGATCCAACCACAACCCAGGTACGTGCCCTGACCTTTTGGTGCATAGGATGACATGCAACCAAATGAGCCACTCGAGCTGGACTAAAACCTCATTCCTTTTTAATTGTAGCCAGTTCTTAAGTTCCATCTTCAATGAAGACCAAAAGCAGCCCATCACATTTCCAAAGAATGCCTTCATGTTCGGTTTGAAGATCATTCCTGGATCACCCCGAGCACTCTCTCCTTTCACTGGCAAAATACTTAATGTTCTCACCTTTCCTCAAAGAAACCACTTAGTTGCTCCCGGGATCCATTCCAGAACACCCATCCCTCCTAAACTGTAGAAGCCAGCAATCTAGTAAACGGAGAAACAAAGGTCAAGGGTGGTGAGGGATTTTGTGCAGTCCTCAGAGTGGCGGCATGCTCTCTTTCTCACTCTGCTTCCTTTCAGGCCAGCTCACGTGTGTGCATCTGTAGGTGTGTGCACATGGATTTGTGCACATATACACACAAAACACTAACATTTTTACCAGCTTTAAGAATAAACATTGTTTTATTAAGTGAGTCTGCCAACTGTTCTCTGTCCAGTCTGAGCCATCTGATTTGACACATCAATTTTTTTTTTTAGCGAAAGCTTCCTTACCATATATTCGTAAATAATATGACAGAGAAATGAGCAGCACTGTTTTATTGATACTGCAATTATCTTCTTCATGTGCAAAAGCATCGTACAGACTTGGAAATATCACCAGCACTCCAATGTATCAAGAATTCAAAAATAATAAATCATTGGTCGTCCAACAAATAATGAGACTCTAGTAACATAAAGAGCTGTTGTGCTTAAAAAATTATTTTAGCATTGGGGTGAAAACTGTTCAATTTTATTTCAAATAACACACTGTTACATTTCATTTGCAATCATTTTTCATACCTTCTCAAAGAAATAAAAATTCTCTCGGTTATTTTTATTGCAGCCATTATAGACATCTGTATTATGCCACTTAAATGCGATCAGGTGTAGGATACTTTCTGAACTGTACATGCTTGCAAAAATTATGTATTTTTTTGCAAAAATAAATAGGAAGGTTGTGTATATGATATAATCACAACTACAGTAATTCCTACTTAAATTAGACCATTTTATTAAACTAACAAATCCCAGTTTCAGGAAGATTTATGAAATATATTTGTTCTAAAAATCTGCACTGGTTTAAATTACTCCCAGAATTATTTACCATGCAACACTTTTCATATTTTTACGTCAACACATACCAGCACTCTTAACAAGAACTTATACATGTATCATCTCACTTAACCATGTATTAGAGCAAATTGAGGACAGGACATTAGAAAGACTATTGACTATATTGTTTGTGCTTGGAAGAATAAAGCATTAGTGACGTGATGGTGTAGATGAACTCAAACGCTTCAGTCAAACAGTTCATGGAATATGCTGATAGTATGTCTAAGAATTTTGCAACAATAAAACTACCACAAATAAGTACCTATCAAGTAAACAACAATAAGATCTCAGTAACATAACTAAAATTTGTTTAAAGATGAAGAATGTCTTATCAAATATGTAAATAATCTAAGCACAGCAAAGGGAACAGACTGTATTTTTAGAATGAATTCAGAATCCAAATATATTTATTTTAATAATGCTCATCTTAGTGCTCATTGAATTAAAGAGAAGTAATAGTATCTGTCTCTGCAGAAGATGAATATCTACATAATAAATATCTAATTATGCTTTATGGTCCCTTTAGGAGAGGTCTGAGTCCAATTTTGAGTCTAATGCCCCATCCAACATGGATAACCTGTTCAAACTGGTGAGATAATCCCTCAAGAAACACAGCAAAGCTGCCGCCATAGGTTAAAAGCACATTACACAAAGCTCCGAGTGGCCTGGAGGGAAAAGAACTCGCCAAGGTCACTCCCGCAGTCCACAGTGGAGGCTGGAATAAAAGCAAGCGTCTTGGTGCAATGACCAAAGTCCTCGCAGGTCACCCCTAACACACACACCTTGACAAATCTGTTCCAAAAAGAGATCAAGGTGACTCCTTTTTTTTTTTTAATGCTCTCCCTAGCACCCAGCAGATACGCAGAGGTGGTTTCATTTACAGCACATGTCAATACAAAAATTAAGGGCCAATATCCTGCCTGGGTCAAGATAAAAGGCACCTAAACCTAAGCATTCAGGGTAACCTGCAATCTTTAGCACACACAACGCGCATGAGAGCCACGCAGAAAAAACAATCACTACGAAACAAACACACAAAACAACAACAACAAAAAAGACAAGAAACAAACACTAAGTGTCTCACCACCCATACCCCAGGCGCTGAGTGCCGGCCTTCGCTCATCTGGATTTGAACAGACCCAGCTATCTCCCTCATCTAGAGAACCAAGGAAGCAGTCCGAAAGTGAGCCCTAACTTTCTGCTCTAATTGTCTGTCTTACGACTAGAAGAGCTTGGAGATCTCTCCCAAGACCTAGACAAAGAAGAGGATTCAAAAAAGAAGAGACCCGCAACTCTCGGCCCAATCAAACCCGGTGCCCGGCGGCCCTACGGGCTTTGCTTACTCAATGTCTAGTTATACAACTTCAAGACTTCCCCACGCACTGAAGATGCCACGAGGAATATGCCCGTCTCCAGTGCAATGTCCCTGCGCTAAGCCAGGTCCCCGCCGACTTGCGTCCAGACGCACAAACTAACTTCCCAGGGCGGTGCAGAGACACCGGACCCGCAGACTTCGAGAGCAGGGGCAGGGCGAGCAGGGGCAGGGCGGGCAGGGGCAGGGAGGGCAGGGCGCAGCGGGAGCGCTCGCGGAGCGGGAAGAAGGCGCTCGGCCCCGGACCCCGCGCCGCGCTCTGGCCTCCTGCCCAGCCCGCGCCCCCGCCTCCGCGCCGCGCCCGCCTCCTTCCTACCTGTCTGAGGATGAAGCTGGTCGAAGTGGTGCTGCCATCGGATCTTTTCAACCTGCTCCTCCGGGTCGTGGTGCCTCGGGCCACCTGGAGTCGATACAGGGGGCCAGAGAGAAGCGGGTGAGGACCGCACCGTGGAGAGCAGCGACCTCCCCCGGCTCCAGTCCGCCTCCGAACCAGCTCCCTGGGGTCCCCCGGAGCCCGCACCCAAGTCTCCTCCGCGGCCCCCAAGTCCAGCCCCCACCCCCACCCATCCACTCTAATCCAGGACAACTGAAATGGTGCCCGAGAGGAGCAGCCCGCGGGCACCCACCACATCCATTAACAAAGACTCTCAGGGTGCGGGGTCCGAGTCCCCGGCATCTGCTGGGGAAGGCTGCGGGCTCGGAAGCGGGAGCGCAGAGACGAGTCGAGGTGAGGAGGAGGAGGAGGAGGAGGAGGAGGAGGAGGAGGCGGCGGAGGAGGAGGAGGAGGAGGAGGAGGAGGAGCGGGAGGAGGAGCGGGAGGAGGAGGGTGGGGGAGGCCGCCCGCTCCCGGGACTGGGGGCCCGGCGCCCGGCACGAAGGCGGGGCGCGGTGGGGCGCCGAGGAGGGGGAGGCGGGGGGAGGGGGCGGTACCTGCGAGGTGGGCGAGGGCGGCCCGTCCGCGGTCCCGTTCTTGGCGTAGGAGGACATGCTTCCCAGCCGCTGGCCAGCCCGCGGTGGGCGGAGGACCCGCAGGCCCCCGGAGACTCGGCCGCGGGGGAGGGGAGGGGAGGGCGGCAGGACGTCCCCCCGGCTTCGGGACCGCGCCGGCTCGCGGCTCCCTGCCCGCACTTCGGGGAGCGCGACACCTTAAAGGGACCGAAGCGCGTGCCCCGCGCCGCAGCGGCGTCGGGCAGCGCCCCGCAGGCGGAGGTCCCGCCGAGGGCTTCCCGGGATCTCGCCCACCCGAGCCGACGGGGAGAAGCGCGCTCCCACCAGCCAGCGCCTTACAGCGGAGCTTCCCAGAGGATGGAGGGAGGCGGGAGTCTGCCGTGGGGGTGGCAGGATTAAAATAGTCTGCACAGTTTAAAACGAGACAAAGGTGGCACGGTTCATGAATCAGGACTTGGGGAGGGACGCCGGTGCGGTGCCGGGAGTGGGGAGAGCCGACCGACTGTGTGTGTGTGTGTGTGTGTGTGTGTGTGTGTGTGTGTGTGTGTGTGTGTCTATGCCCGCGCGAGTGTCTGCTGCACCGGAATTTTAAAAGGGCAAGAGCAGAACCTTCTTTCTGCGACTTCACTCATCAGCCCACTGTGGGAAGGCATGAGGTTTTGTGGTTTGTTTTTTTGCCCGTGTTTTTGTATTCTTTTTGCCGACTCTGGCCTCAGAACCGCGAGCCGTAGTCAACCGGGCAGCCCCGGAAACCCTGTCCACCTGAGTCTGAGGGGAGATGCGGCCCCACTGGGGAGCTGCCTGTCCTGAGGAGTTTTGAAGGTCACGTTACACCTGCTAAAAAAGCTGGAGTTGGCCACGTGCCTCCCATGTCGACGCGGATCGCTGTTTGCAAGGGAGGAAACTCATCCATAAAACCGTGCACAATCTTTGCTGTTGTTGCAACCCTGGGTTCTCTTCTGTACGTACATACTATAGGTTAATTTGAGATCAAAGTAAGCAAATTGTGAAGAGCTGGAATTTGAAGTAACAGGAAAAATACATGCAAGTTAAAAAAATAAAAAGATCCGTTTAACTATAGTTACTGCATGAGAAATCCATCTTTAAAATAGGCATAGTATCTTAAATCGCTAGATTAGACCATATCACATTGCATTCCAGGATTTTTTTTTTTTAAATAGAAACTGCCATGTTTCTTTTAAAAATGGCTTGGCATTATTGAAGTCATGATTATATCTTACTATTCACCAGACATTTATTCCCATTCCATCCCCCCACCCCTTCACTTAATCCAGACTGTCATTTCTTTCCAACTGTCTAATAACTAGTCTCTGCCTCCAGGCTCCCTACTGCGTGCAAATGCGCACGCGCACATACACACACACACCCCTTCATTCCATCTACACACTACAGGCAAAGCCATTTTCTTACATACCTCTTTGTTCCAGTCACTCTTCTCTAAAAAGAACTTACTGTTCTCAGCAGTCCAGAAGATAGGGACCAAACTCCACCGTCTAACAGCCAAGCCCTCCTCTCCCCTGCTATTCTGGTCACCACCTCATTTCTTCAACTTGGTCTCTCTTTGGGCAAGCAGGCAGGTCTGCACATTATTGCTTCGGCATACCAAATACAATCCCACTTCAGCAACACACACACACACACACACACACACACACACACACACACACACACACGGCTGAATCCTACTCTTCTCCAAACCTGGCTGAGCTCATTCTTCGTCCAGGACTGACCACTCTGGCGCTGGGTAGTTTCTTGTGCCCCTGAAAAACTGGAGCATTTATTCTCTGGGCATTTAATATAGGCTGCCTTGGTTTATTAATTCTCTTTTTGTGAAACTCTAATTTCTAAAATAGGTTTTTAGCTTTTTATCTTCTATTCTTCCACCTCACATATAGTAGATATTCCATAAAGTGTATGTGTAATGGTGTGTCTGCAAAATCAGAACTCCCTGCTTTGGTTACGGTCAACTCAACCCATTTTTAGTTCTGAGCCATTTTCATAAGTGATACTTAATCAATATTTATCGAATGTGAGTTATTATATGGGCACCGGAATTTGAGTTTTCTGGTTTTCCACTGCCCCGAGTCTCACTGGGTTTGAGTTCTCAAAAAAGAATCTAGAGCAGCAGGACAGCGAGGACCTCTCTGCACCCACCCCACAGCAAAACTGGGAAAAATTATTTTCAAAAAATTATTTAAATCTCTGGAAGTGGTCCAAAACCCTAGTCAAAAGAAGGCAAATGAAGAAACATTTAAGAAAATTCACTGAAGGTCAATAACGTGAGAGTCTGTGGTATTTGAACCAAATACCTCCCTCCCTGCTTCCAGTCAGCTCAGCGAGAGGGAAACTCTACTCCACAGTGGTGCAGCCTAGATACAGGGTTCCTCCCCCCCAGCTCCCACTGGCTGGGTTACCTTCCTGGGAGGGAAAGGACGTCAGCATTTATCATCCTGTCCCTAGATGCCTGTTGCTGAGGCTACGTTCCCATCAAATACAGCAGAGAGGTGGGGGCTCCCTTGTTTAGCCCAGTCTTACCTACTCATGGGATGGAGGCTCTATTGTGGGCACAGCACCCCCGAGAATACTGGGGCCCTGGCTGCTCCTGGAGAGGCAAGCCAGGAGACCTGGGACTACTGTCCCTCCCTACCAAGCACTGAACTCCTAAAGTGGGGGTGTCACTCAGAGAGAGGTACATCATTGTCCCTGACCCCAGCACCAGAATTCAAAGAATGAAGTTGGATCCTTACCTCATGCCCCATACAAAAATGAACTCAAAATAGACCAGAGACCTAAATGAATGAGCTCAAAATATAAAACTACCAGAAGAAAACACTGGCAATGGATTCTTAGATATGACACCCAAAGCATAAGCAACAAAAGAAAAAGGAAAAACACAAATTGGACTTCATCAAGAAAGTGAAAACACAACCCACAGAACGGGAGAAAATATTTGCAAAGCATCTACACTAATAAAAGAGAAAAATGGTAATTGGCGTATGGCGCTACCCTTTTCATTGGCTAATCAGGGCTATATGCAAATTAACTGCCAACTAAGATTGGCAGTTAACTGCCAACAAGATGGCGGTTAATTTGCATATGTAGGCACAATTGAGGGATGCGAAAGGGAAAGCAGGAAGAAGCCCCCTGCCACTGACAGTGATCAGAAACCCAGGGGGGAGCTAAGAGCTGGGGGGCAGGGCAAAGGCGGCCCTGGGGCCGCCTTTGCCCTGCCCCCCAGCCATGATCGGAGAATCAGGTGCCTTTGCCGCCCTGGCCAGTGATAGCAGAAAGTAGGGGTAGAGCCAGCGATGGGAGCTGGGCACGGTCGAAGCTGGCAGTCCCAGGAGCTAGGGGTCCCTTGCCTGGGCCTAAAGCGGAGCCCACGATCGCGGGGCCGCTGCAGCTGCGGGTCCCCGCTGCCCTGGCCAGTCGCCTAGGCCAGAGGCGTTAGGCCTGGGCAGGGGCGGAGCCTGCAACCGCGGGGAGCTGGGGGTCCCCTGCCCAGGCCTGACACCTCTGCCGGAGGCCTCAGGCCTGGTCAAGGGGCCGATCCGGTGATTGGTGATCGGAGGGTGATGAGAGTCAACTCCTCTGGCCGAGGCATCAGGCCTGGGTGGGGGGCGGAGCCGGGAATTGGGGGGATATGATGGTCCCCTTGCCCAGGCCTGAAGCCTGGGTCAGAGGCGTCAGGCTTGGGCGGGGGGTGGAGCAAGCGATCAGAGGGAGATGGGGGTCCCCTGCCCAGGCATGATTCCTGGGCCTGAGGCCTCAGGCCTGGGCGGGGGCCAGAGCCAGTGATCGGGGGGAGATGGGGGTCCCCAGTCCAAGCCTGACACCTCTGGTGGAGGCGTCAGGCCTGGGCAAGGGGCCGATCAGGCGATCGGAGGGTGATGGGGGTCTACGCCTCTGGCCAAGGCATCAGGCCTGGGCAAGGGGCAGAGCCAGCAATCAGAGGGGTCTGGGGGTCCCCTGCCCAGGCCTGATGCCTGGGCCAGAGGCATCAGGCCTGGGCTGGGGGCAGAACCAGTGATGGGGGGAAATGAGGGTCCCCTGCCTAGGCCTGATGCCTCTGTCAGAGGCGTCAGGCCTGGGCAAGGGGCTGATCCTGCGATTGGAGGGTGATGGGGGTCAACACCTGAGGGCTCCCAGTATGTGAGAGGGGGCAGGCTGGGCTGAGGGACACTCCCCCCCCCCCAGTGCACGAATTTCATGCACCGGGCCCCTAGTATATCTAATAAGGGACTCCTAGCTGATGTATATATATAATCTTATAACTCAGTAATAATAAAAAGATAAATAACCCAATTTTAACGTGGGGCAAAGAATCTGAATAGACTTTTCTCCAAAAGAAGATGCACAGATGGCCAATAAGCCCATGAAAAAGATGCTTGACATCATTAGCCATCAGGCGAATGCAAACCAAAACCACAGTGAGACACCACTTTATACTCACCAGAGTGGCCATAATCAAAAAGTCAGTTAACAAGTGTTGATAAGGATATAGAGAACATGGAACTGAAACACACTGCTGATGGGACTGTAAAGTGGTACAGCAGATGTGAAAAACACTTTGGCAGTTCCTCAAAAAATTAAATACAGAGTTACTATAGGACCCAGCAGTTCTACTCCTAGATATATATCCAAGATAAATTCTGGGAGTCAAGAACATGGGCAGATATGTACAATTCTCTTGGAGGAAAGGAGATGATTAAAAAAATACAAACAATACAACCCTCCACATGAAGGATTAAGATACTGAATGATGTAAATTAAATTCCAAATAATATTCAAATTCTAGTTTTTCTACCTGCTCTATGCCCAGTGAAGAACACAGGCTTTCAGAGATTCAAAGTTGGAATAGAACTTGAATGAATCTATACTAGTGGTTCGCAGCCAGGATAACATGTGGGACATAAAAGTCGAGACATCCAACGGTCAGGAGGTTACATAGCATTTGCTTTTTCCTTAGTCCCCATATCCTCTTTCAATATCTGGTACTACTGTTACCTGCCCAAGTATCTGACTACAACCTTTCAACCTTCTAGATGTTGCCTTTATGGAGTGTTTTTCATAACCACTTGCCCCTCCTCCAACCCACAGCAAGGGTCAGTGATGTACAGTTTCAAGCCACAAGTCAGAAAGAAATGTTCAGGGTGCTTTTGCCTCTGCTGCAGTCCTGGGCTCAGGTGCAGAAATGAGCATTTTGTTCTGGAAAGCAGCCATGGGGATTGTCTGATGAGCAGGAGATGCTAAGATTTTTTTCCTTTTTAACAGAGCCATTGGTCTTTTTGCCACTTAAACAGGACTCTAGCCCCCTTGTCTCTTGATAGTTAAAATAATGCCATATCCCCTGGATTCTAGGACAACTTGATGTTTAAGAAGCATCATCGATTGAATAGACTTAAGGGAATAAAATGAAGCCTTACAATACATGCTGATCCATTGTAAAATACATCCTGATTTCACACAGGTTAAATGGAATGATAATGATAAGCACAAGGATAAGAAAGGGTGAAAGAAAACTCATGTTTACTGAAAGCCAGGCATTGTGAGGTGCTATGCGCTCTCTGCTAAATTCATCTTTATTCTTCACTAGAGGCCCAATGCACGAAATTCGTGCAAGAGTAGGCCTTCCTTCCCCCGGCTGCCAGCACCAGCTTCCCTCTGGCACCCAGGACCCGGGCTTCCCACCACCTGGGACCCAGGCTTCCCTCGCAGCCCCAGCTTCCTCTAGAAGTATAATTAGCAGATTACGCTTTTATTATTATAGATTCCACAAACATTTCCTGTGCCTAAGCTAGGGCCTTGGAATACACTAGTGAATAAAGCAGTTCCAAGTTTTAAAAGATTTTACAGACCTAGTTGGGTTAGAATGCTTTCAGATACAAATAGGAAAACCCTACCAAAAGTAGCCTAGACAAATAGAGGGAACAGATAAAGGGTTTATTTTTTCACATAAGAAGTCCAGCGGAAGATAAC